CCCGGGGTAGGGGGCGGGCAGGGGCCGCCGGGCTGCGGGGTAGCCCTGGGGCAAACGCCGCCATGGGCCGCTCCGGGGACGTCTGCTCTGCTGCCGGGGAAGGGCCCCGGCCCCCCGGGTGCCCCGGCTCCGTCCGCCGGCCCCCGAGGGCGAGCGGGGCGGGAGGCGGCCGGGCAGGGCAGGGCTGAGCCGAGCCGCTTTGGCTCGGGGGTGCTGGGATCTTGTTTTTCCCCAAAGACGGTAGGGCCTTGGCGACGAGGAGGGGCTTGCAGGGCAATGGTGCTAAAGGGGGCCTCAGGAGAGTGGCGTGGAAGGGTACAGGGCATGTTTTGGTGGGATTGTTTTGTTTGTGTGGTTTGTTTGCTCGTGTGTGTTTTGGGGTTGGTTCCTTGGGGTTCCCCCCCCCCCCCCCCCCCCCCCCGCGGCTCTGTGTGGCTTGTTGCCTGGCTGTTTCTGTACATCTGCTTCTGCTACTGGAACCAGCACCGTTCCTACGAGTGGAGCTGTCGCTTGGTCACCCTGCTGCATGGGGTGATCGTCACCTGCCTCTCAGGTTACGTTGCTCTCTTGGATGGCCCCTGGCCTCTGACCCATGCAGGTATGTTTGGAGTCTTACCCTGACACATGTCCATGTCATGCAGTGTGGACACCTCTGGTTGCAGGTGGAGTGGAGGGCTGATTGCTCTTATTATCTGTTCTCCTATGTGTATGTTTTTGGGGCATGTTTGGGGCAGAATTTTGTCTAACTCCCTTGCTTCTTCTCCAGCCCTTACCACTTCTTACTGTTAATCTTTTTTTTTTTTTTAATCCATGTACACATTGAAAATTTTCAGGTTGGCAGCTTGAGTTTATTGCAGCGTTAGGTGTAGCAATGTGTTGAAAACAGACTTAAGTGCTGTTCGCATCTTTAAGGGTGTAGTAACTCCTGGCATTTGGCTGTGGAGTTTCGTTTGCTGTTTTCTATCATTAAATCTCAAATAGTTCTGCTGATGGGGGTCAGGCTTTCCATCCCTGCTTTCTAAAAGGGTGGAGAGAAGAAGAGAAACAGAAGCGTGGCAGGATGGGGTGGCCTGCCTGGGTCTGCAGAACCAGACATCCAAGCTTCCAGCCTGGCACTTGGCCCATAGGATAAGGCTGGAAACTAAGGAGGAAAGAGGTATACTCACAACCTGTATTGCTCCATATTGTAGGAGAATATCTGAAGACCCCAGGCTTATGTGCGTCTTTCATTTCAGGTTCACCAAACACATCTCTTCAGATCCATGTGCTGTCCCTGACCTTGGGTTACTTTATCTTTGACCTGGGCTGGTGCCTGTATTTCCAGACAGAGGGGGACCTAATGCTGTTGCATCACACGCTGAGCATCTGCGGCATGATCATGGTGCTGGGGCTCGGGAAGTCTGCTACAGAAGTCAGTGCTGTTGTATTTGTTAGCGAGATCACCAACCCACTGCTCCAGACCCGCTGGTTTCTGCGGGAAATGGGGCGTTACCACACTTTGCTGGGAGAGGTGGTGGATTTCTTCTTTGTGTTCCTCTTCGTGGTTCTGCGAATCCTGGGAGGAGCTTTGATCATGTATGCGATGGTGACATCCCCTGATCCCAGCTGGCTCCTCAAGGCTGGGGGCCTGGCCATGTACATTGTATCTTTGGGGTTCATGGTTGAAATCTGCCACTTTGTCAGGAGGAAAACGTTGAAAAAATATCGTTCCTGGACAAGCCTGAGGAGTGTGAATGCACCTGTGAAAACTAATGGGCACTTAACAGCTCATTAACGGGTTGTGGATGACAGTCCCTTGGGCTACGGTCCTGGCTACTGAAGCCTATTCCTGTGAGAAGAACTCCTAAAAGTGATGCAGAATTGACTTTCTGGTTCTGGTCTGCTATGTCCGGAGGAGATGGATTGGCGCTAGGAACACAGGAAAGCTGACAGAAGAGGGGTTTGAGTGGAAATATGAGGAACCTGGCATGTCTACTGAACTCTGATTCCCTGACTCTCCAGCAATGGTACCGTCTCAAGTAGGGTGGCAATGCCAGACCTATTCAGTCTGCAACCAGTAATGGCACAGTCTGTATGTTCTGTAATCATTTTGGAGGTAGAAATATTTTAGTCCAGAGCCAGAAAAATCAAATCTGAAAAACCCCATCTCCTGCCAGTGCGACTGCGTAGGGGTGTGACGTAGCAAAGATTGACTGAGCCTTACTCTCCCTTAATCCTGGAGTTGGACACCGCGCTTGACTAAGTACTTGGATGAAAGCCTCTGAAGAAGATTCAAGTGTTTGCAGGGGTATAGTGGAGTTGTCCTTTAAGTGTGTGAAGTGATGGTACTTGAGGTGAGGCAGTGTTTTACCTCATTGCTTTTAATGATACATTTCTTTTTTTTTTATTTTTTAAAAATACTTGCATTCAAGCAGATACTGACCTTGGAGCAGTGTGACTTCACTGGGATTGAGTCAGGCCCTTGCAAACAAGAGTCAAGAATTAGACTTGTGCCAATAAACTCCATAAGCAGGTGTTCACCTAACCTTGGATTGCTTTAAAAATCAGGTACTTTGGGGGTGAGGGATGATAGAGAAGAGCCCTCTCTGGATGCTCTTTCTGTTCTGGGGTTGGCTCATTTACATGCCACTTTAAGCTGAATGCATGGCTAACAAGTCTAATAAATGACTATATTTTCAGGGGCGACAGTAGTGTTTAGGCAGATCTCAGTGTAACATCTGCTCCGTACCAGCAGGTCTCAGAGTATGGACCAGTTCTCTTGTTTTCTTTACCTGTCAGAATCGTGTTCTGACATTTCCCCTGGGGTTTTAATGTGAATTTCCCTCTGTTTAAGGCTGCAGTTCGGATTTACTCTCCCATAAAAGCCTCGCTTACAGCTGAGGAACAAATGGCCTTGTGTTGCCCTCAGGCTTAGCAAGGCTGGTTGCCTTTCCTTCCTGCTTTCAAAGACCTTGTTTAGAAGAGCTGCTTCATGATGCTAAAGATCCCCTGAAGCAGCCTGTGTGGCTCTTGCTCAGGTGAGGTGTCACCCCTGCTGCAGAGGTGAAGGAGAGGAGTAGTGGGAATACAGCTGCCGTGGGGATGCAGCCTCACTAGCTCCTCCGTGCCTCTTACCTCACTAACGGTGGCACTGTGCAGTGCAGATATCTGCCTTGGCTGGGGGTTAAACAAGGTGTATGGAGAGATTAAAAAATGGCATGAAATAACCTAACTTTTGACATGCCCTCTGAATGCATTGCAGCTGTGAATCCAGGCAAGTTAGCAGGCTAACATGTTTAGAAAAACAGGAGCCTTGCGCTCCTGATACCTTGCCAGCGTGGCTCTGGGGGCCTGGCCTCAGGAGGTGTGAACTCTTGCCAGAGTCGCTGTGCTCTTCTGAAAACTCCTATGAGTGATGACACTTCTAATAAAGTTATGTCCTCTTTTTAAAAAGAAACAATTGCTGTAATGTTCTTTTGTTCTGGGTCTTAAGGAGGCAACTGAAGTTAATGCCGAGGAAAACAGGCTTGAGGGTAGCCGGAGCATGCTAAGGCTAGTAGTCACTGGCGGAGCTCAGGCTCGTGCAGTTCAGGAAGGAGTGAGCTGGTGGGGAAACAAGCCATGTGCTCTGGAGCTCAGGCTTGAGGTGTGAAGGATAGATGCGGGTCAGCTGAAGCTCAATTTGTGAGTAATGTACCCATAACCTGCCCTGCCAATGAGTCACAGGCAGTATTGCAGGGAACTTAAGAACAGGCCATTAAACTGAAGTGTTTGTTCTTGATGGACGCAAGGTCACAGGTAGCTTAAATTTTAAGGTAACTTAAATTCTGGTCGTAGCCTACATCCCAGGTTGCCCTTTTTCTCTGCAGCACCAATGCTTCTCTTGCTGCATTTCATCCTAGGAATGACCAATTCAGAAGGCTTGGGTTACAAGGTGGTTTGTCTACACTAGCTTTGAAGAAGCAGTTGAAAGCATGAGAACATCTTTGGTGTTATGAGATGTCCTAAGCCACTGCTGAGTGGCTGTTTCCAGCTGAGGACCTGCTACTGCTGGGCCAGGACCCTGCTGTCTGGAGTGGAGGTGGGCCTGGCCTTGGCTTCCAGCAAGAAAACTCTCTTCCTTCAGCTGAGGGTCAGTAACTCGGTACACCCAGCTTGCTTGCATGCAAAACAGAGCTGATGGTAGTTACCCTGTGAGATTTGAAGCAAAGTAAGTGTGCTCAGGTGGTCATGCACCATGTCCCATCTAAGGATAGTTTTAGTGTTAAACTCTCTAATGTGATGCTAGAAAAACATCTGGCTCCACCCTCAGTATCCCATTTGATTTCTTATTTGCTAACGTTTCAAATAATGCGACTTTTAATACAGGTGCCTGACTTTTAGCTGTTAAATATCCTTGAGGGCTTTTACAGTCACAAAAAGCGAGCATGAGTCTTGGCGTATCGCTGAGGAAGGCTATGGGACTTGTGTGTATTTCCAGTTCTTGTATATTTCCAGTTTATTTTTGGACAAGAAGTTTCCCAGTGTTGGGAAGCTAATGTGTTCTGTGACCCTCCAGTGTTGTAAGCTCCTGTTAAATGGGTACAGAAAGAAGACAAGAAGAAAGAACGTACCGCTGAGGGAGGGGGTAGCGATACTAAACCGGGTAGCAGTGTGCAAAGCTGTTTGCAGAGGTTCCTGTCCTGAGCTGTTTTGCTGAGTGCTATTCATCTGCAGGCAAAATGAGCCAGTGCACTCAGCCTGCCTATTTAAACAGCTGACTCTGCACAAAGCAAACAAGGAAATTAGTGTATAAGCTGCACCTAGCTTCTGGTACAATCCACTGGGAGATGATGTGACTTGCCACCTTGTGTCTCACTAGACACAAATTTTGCGTGTTGTATGATCTAGAACAAACCCCCCACAATTCCTTCTCTGTATTCTACCTCAGGCATTAAATGGTCCTTGCCTTGTTAGGACTTTTGGAGTGCCTTTCTGTGACCATCTCTGCTGTTCTTTTTGGCAGCTCTGTTTCTGTGGTATGCGTCAACATTAGCCCTATAGCTCTCTGTCTGTCAACACTGTTCTGTACCCTGAGCTAAGTATTGTAACAGCTCCATCTCGGTTGTTATTGAGGCTATGGGAGGGGGCCTGCTCCAGCAAAGGTGGAGGAAAGCAAGATGAGACCTAAGATTTGTCAGAGAAGCAAATGCACTATTAATGCTAGCGAGGATGTCATGCTGAAATAGCTGAAGGATGAGCATCTTGTAGCAATAGGAACCTGCGCCTGGCCTGAACTGGAAAAGTAAGATAGATATCCAGTTGAAAACAGGCTTGTTAACAAGTGCTGTAAGAGGCAGGACAAGCCACTCCCGCCATCTGTATTTCAAAAGGTAAAACCTGACAGCATGAAGGAAAAAAACCCACTTATTTCTGGGCATGAGAGATTGTTTTGATTGCAACTTACAAAAGGAGTAAGTGTGTTGGTTGGAGGGATGTTATTGTAAGCTACTTGCATAAGCCCTGGATTTTGCTACTCTGTGGATGTAAATGAAGTGAGGAGAGAAAAGATGTGGTTTAGCACTGAATGCTTATAGCGAGAAGAAATTGCTAGGCTTTGTAACTGCTGCATAAGCACTGGATGAGAGGGTGCGTTCAGGGCAGGGCCGTGTGCTTTCCCAGCCTGCTGAGGCTGCATGCTCTGCGCTGTGCCTGGGTGATAAACCCCGTGGGGTACGTTACCTTGAAGCTGGTGCTATATGGACACAGTTTTGCAAGTTCTGTAGGAGAGTCGTTTCACGTCAGGTGCTGCCTGGGTGCGAGTAAAGCGAGCCCAGGTCTGCCTGCGGCCGTGCCTGTTATCCCCGGGAGGCGTGAGAGGATTGAAGCGGGTCGTGGGTGCGTGGCACCGATTTCCCGTGCCCCCAGGCTAACGCAATGCTCTGTCTGTGCGTGTGCCCGGTGGCAACGCGGCCTGCCTCTGCTTCCGTGAGCAACAACCTGTTGGGTATCGACCCGAGGTCCCCGCCGCCAGACAGAGCGGACTACAAACCTGCGAGTTGGAGCACTGCGGGCCAGCCCCGAGGTCCCTCCCCAGCCTCTCGGCTGGGTCTAGGAAGGATGCGCGGCGGGGCCGCAAAGGCCTGCGGGCCCCG